AGTGGCTCCAGCCCAGACAGTGTCTGAGGGCAGGAGCTGGGAGGACACATGCACTGGCACACACACAGTCCTGCAGTTTGGCTGGGTGAGCAGCCGGCACGAGGAGTGAGCCTGCCCTGGATGGTGTGGGACAGTAAAGCTGGGGGCTCTGTCTGGGTTGGGGAGGTTTTGCTCAGCCAGTCTGGCCTCTGGGAGCTGCCCTCTGGAGCAGGCAGTGGTGACCCAGGTTCAGAGCTCCATCTGAAGAGCCCTGCAACTCCCAAGGGCCAAACCCTGACTACACCAGACAACCACCCTGAACCCCCAGGTCTTCCAGGCTGGCAGCTTTCATGACGGAACAGCCGAGAGCCGGCTGGCGTGTGCTGGCACAGCAACCTGGGCTTGCACCAATGAGGATCCAACGGAGCCAGTCCAAAACTTCATATGCTGGCAAAAAAAAAGGCAGGCTGGCCAGACTGCAGGGCACTCCAGCAGCCTGCCACCGGCATAGACAGGACCTCCCCCCGAATCCTGGCTTGCCGAGCAGCAGCGTTTCCTCTCATGCTGGCGGGTCATGGGCCGACGACACACACAATGCTTGGGGTTATCCAGGCCTTATCAGCTCCGGCCATGCAGTGTGGGCAGGAAAAGGGTTTCAATCCCAGCCGAGCCCTGTTTCCGTCAGGAACCATTCCCCTTGTCACGGGGGAGGGCTGGACTGTGCCATGGTTTTGACACCAGGACCGGTGAACCTGGGCTGTGGGGAGAGTGGGACCACAAGGGTGTCACCCTCTATTCCGAAAGCATCACCAGTGTCCCTCCTTGTGCCAGGGAAGCTGACAGTCTTCAAGCAATGCAGCTACTCCCACCCCAACTTTGCCTGGCAAAGCAGCACTGGAAATGGTGACCTGCAAAGCTTGGGCTAGGAAAGGGCCAGAGCTGGTGAATCCCAGGAAAGGGGCTGCCATCAGAGTGTGCAGCAGAGGTCTGAAACATCCCTTGCTGGGTGTCACTGGTCCCCACTCCAGGGAGGCATTCCAGAGCCCTGGCATGCTGGGAAAACTCCTGCTCAGAGCTGTACAAGCAACCTGAGAAATGCCACAGCAAAGGCCACCACTGCCAGTGATGTCAGGAAACTGAGGCATGAGGAGATACCAAGGGAGGCCTTCTTCCCTCTTGGCCCTATGCTGCCATGGGACATCCTTCCTGGGGCTGCCCCAGCCTCTTAAAGCCAGGTGGAAGAAGGCTGGCACGGGGTCTCTCTTAGTTCCTCAGCCCAAAATCACGGAGTGGGTGTATGCCCAGCCCTTGCTCCTCCAAACCCTCCAGCAGCGTGCACAGGGTGGAAAGAGGAGCTGGTGGAGGCACTGGCAAAGGCTGGGCTTGCTGAGATCCCCTCCCGCTCCATGATTAATTGAACACAGGCTAAAATTAGCTGCGGAGGCAGCACCCCTGGGGTCTCCCAGCAGCATCCCACTGCCCGCCGGCTGCCTGCAAGTGGGTCAGGCAGCAGCTGCCTCCCAGCTGGGCACCCTGGGTGCTTGGGGGACCCCCATCCTCTGCTGAATGTGGGAGCACTGCTCCCTGCTCCATGGCTCAAGGGAAGAAGCCTCCCCACTGCTGCCCTTCTCGGAGGCGTTTCCCTCTGTGGATCAACTGGGCAGGGCTGCATTATGAGGAGCAGCTGGGAAGGCACAAGGCCGCCTTTTGGGATGGCAGGAGTGCAGATCCCCGTCATATTCTTCCCCGTGCCTTCAGGGATCTGTTATATTTAGCCACTCTCCCTACCTCATGTTGCTGGCTCGGCTCTGGCTCTTTTCCCTCCCCTTCCCCACTGTTAATTTGCTTTCTCTGTATTATTTGCAGATTCGGGGAGGCAGAATGAGGTGTTTCGGCACAGGGGACCACTCAGCCATGGCCTCATGGCTACTCTCCACCCAGGGGCTTTTGGTTGGGTTTTCTCCTGGCTATTTTTAACCCACATCAGCAGCTCCGAGGGGATGAAACACCAAGGGGCAATGCAAATTGGAGGCACCCTGTGGCCGATGTGCCAGGACAAGGGGGAGGATGCTCATGGCTGTGCAGGGATGCTCCCATGGAGGCAGGGCAGGGCCTGGACACACTGCCCCCACATCCCAGGCAGGCAGGGGCTGCACCCCCTGGGTTGGCCCCACCTGCCAAGCCCTCTGCTCCCCCCTGACTCCCTGCAGATCCGAGTCTGCAACCTCCACTGTAACACACTGACACGCAAGCTGGGGAGAGCGGGAGGCTGGGCTTTTCCCTTGGATCCAGAAGAAAGCAAACAGGGGAAAAGTTAATTAAAAACTTCAAAGCCAGATCATTCTAATTTGGTTTAACACGGCAGTCCTGCTCAGCGGCAGTGCTGTCCCAGAGGTGCCTGCATGGGGCTCGGGCTGGGAGGTGTCCAGTGTGTCACATCACGAGATGTTCATGGGCAACACCAGCACCACTGCAGACCTCCACCCCTGCCAAGCACTGGGGTGTGGGGTGCAATGGAGCTGGGGTCCAGGCTGGGCAGCTGGTGACCAATGCTCCCAGGGACTGGATTTTGGAGCCACTGGAAAGGTGACTCCATGGGGAGGCTGTGCCTCAGTTTCCCCATAGCCCAGGGATGCCAAACCTTCTTGCTGGGAAGGTGTTTTCAAGGCACTTGGGCTGGGCCTGATCCCCACCTCCTGGCATGATACCACTGTCCCACATAAAGCAGGACAGGGCTTAGGGTCTTGGGGGGAAGCAAGGGGTGTCTGCCTCAGCAGGGTCCAGCAAAACAGGGGGACGTCATCCTGGGGTGAGGAGGGGACCCTGGCACTGCCAGCCACTGCTCTGAAGGAGGAAGGTGACATCTTCCTTGCTTAATTCTCACTCTTTTCTCCAAAAGGAGCCAAAAATCCTCTCATTTTCTCCAGAAAGCTACGTCACAGGACAGCAATGCTCCTGCCCAGGCATTCTGCCGCCTTCCCCTGCCTCCTGCCCCCACTTTTGGGTTTTTTTTGGTGGTGGGTTGAGTGTTTTTTTTTTTGTTTTTTTTTTTTTTGCAGAACTTTGGGCTGCATGGTGAGTAAAGGCATCCTGCTGTCTGAGGGCTAACGGCTTGTTGGAGAGATAATAAAGCAAAGGGGAGTAAATTAAAGTGACTATAAATAGCACCAGGAGAGGAAAAGGAGATGAAGTCATCTTCCTTCAGCTGAGCTGGTATTTGCATCACTTCTTCCCTTTGCCTTCCCCTGCCCCCTCACCCTGCTCGGGAAACAGCCCTCCCCGGACCCTGGGGTTGTGCTGTGGGCTCTGTGTGCCCCCTGGGCCCCCATGGGGCTGGGGAATGTCCCCCTGGGATGTCTGCCCAGCGCTGGGGGCTTGCTGGAGAGCACAGCAAGGTGTCCTGGATGCGGTCACTTGGCCCCAGGCTTCAGCCAGCTTTGCCATGGATCTGTGGCCTTGCCCCATGCAAACCAGTGCATGGCCCTATGCAAACCAGTGTCTCCAGCATGACCCCAATGTTACATCCCATAGTCACCAGAAAGAACTTTCAGGAGCCATCACAGACCCATTTTTCTGTTCACAGCCCATCCACAGGTGGCTAAAGAGACCCTCCAGGAGCAGTGCCTTTAGGAAGGCATTCTGCAAACTCAGCAACAGCAAATGCACCCAGAAAAGCCCCTCCAGGAACCAAATTCCATAACTGACATTTTTATTCCTGACGATTTTAACATCCAAGACTCCACCGTCAGTCCCAGGACATATGAAGGAGGAGGGATCCTGACCCTGAAGGAGCCTCCCTGGAGTTAGCAGACACCTTCAGATTCCATTCAAAACATGACCCTCACTGCCAAGGAGGCCACTGCCCCTGCAGCCCCCCAGCAGCCCCCAAGCCCCCCAGCTGCCCCCTCGCACGAGGTATATTTACATCTGAGTCAGGATGAGGTCACACCGCGGTTTCCTTATGTCAGCTACCGACTCCTATTCCTGTGCTATGCGCACACACCCGCCGTGTTATTGCAGGGTATTTATAGCTGTTTTACATGTATAATTATAAAACCACAACTCCACACACGCACCAAAATAATCACGGTGCCGGGAGGCAGGGGAGCGGGGCCAGGGTGATGGGAACGGGGCCGGGGCACGGACCCACCGCTAATAATAATTCTTTGCACTTTATATATAGCCCCTTTCATCCGCAGCTCTCAAAATCGCTTTGCAGACGTTTAATTAAGCTTCCCAACATCCTAATGTGATGACAGGCAAGTAATAATATCCTCCCTTTTAAGGTACAAAGAGAGGGGAGGTGGCAGGACTTGTCTGAGGTCCCGCAGCGAGCCCAGGTGTCCCGTGTCCTGCCCCACGCTTGTGGGATGCCCAGAGGGGAGATTTTGACCCAGAAGGACCCCAGGATCCTGCCCAACCCCTCTGCTCAGTTCAGGGTGGGGACAGCTGATGACAGCACAAGGTCCAGTGGTGACCCTGGGGACCGCTGAGCTGCAGCTGCCCAACATCTGGATCAGCAGGTGGAAGAGAGACATATGTATCTCAGCAAACTCATGGGCGAGAGCTTGGGGGAGAGCAATAAATAAGATGACAAGTCTGAAAGGGCTGATTTATGAGGAATATTAAGAGTCATAATACTGCCTGGCCCAGCCATCCCCCAGGGAGACAGGGTGGTGACAAGGACCCAGAGACATCACAGAGAGACAAGATTCACTGGGGCCAGTGCCAACATATCTCCAAGCAGGCCTGGAAGCAGTTGTGCCTCTCGGCACTGGGAGCTCTAGGCAGCTTGGTGTGGGAGAACAGACGGGTCTCAGTGGCAGCCTGGAGATGGGATCCCCCAAGGGTAGGTCTCGGTGGTCCTCAAGGTCTGTGGTTTGTGCTCCCCTGAGCACCTTTCTCCCTCCTGTGTACATCCCTGCCTGGAAGGACCACTTGCCTCCCATCCTTGAAGTGCTGCAGAAGGCACAGGGGTGATGTGCTTCAGTTTTGGACACCAGTGGGACATGAGGTGCCACTCAGCAAGAGGGATCTGGCAAGAGAAAGTGGCCAGCAGAACAAAAGATCAAAGAGGTGCTGGAGGCAAACACTGGTGTTGGTAATGAAAGAGGCAGGACTGCTGCCCTGAGGGGTGAGGCTGGGTGGGCTCATTAACATCTGCAGAAAAACCCACACTCCCAGCTCCTTTCCCATGCATGGAGAGGTGGGGGACAAGTGCCCATCCTTTTCACCACCCTGGGGATGCCCCACAGGGAAAGCAGCAGTGTGTTGGTGGATGCAGTGCAATTCTGCACACATGGGAACTAAACGCAAGTCAAAAATCATAAACCCTAATTTGATCCTTTAGCAAGAACCATCCTGCCATTTTATGATCATGCTGGTATTTTTTTTCCTCACAGACTGTATCCAGATCCCTGCTCACCAAAACAAGCTGCACAGCAGCCCTCCACTGACAGCCCCCACGCATACCAAGACCCCAAAATGGGGCAGCAGAACCCACTTGCATCACACTGGCACCAAAGAGCAGTAACACAGACGTTAAGCAAGAAAACAGCTGCAAACCTTCTGAGAGGCTGTAAAGAAATGCCCCAAAATCATTATCTGTGAGGAGAAAGAAGGGAGGGCAATGGGAACAGATTGCCTGCCCATGAAGTCAGCGTAGCCCGGGCAGTGCCACAGGGACATGGGCACCTTCCTGCTACCGCACCAGCCACCAAAACTGCCCCGTGACCTGCTGCTGTCAATTCCCTGAATTTCACCCCCGCTGCCTCCCCTCCAGCACCAGCTGGACATCTCTTACCAGGAGCTGCTGGCAGCTCTGCCATCTCGCTGGCCATGATGAAGGACTCGAGGATCCTTGCACGGAGCTCAGGGCTTGCCTCGGTGCTGTGGGGAGAAGGAGGGGGTCTGTGAGAATGCCAGCACCTCAGCCTCCTTGGAGACCCTCGACCCCCCCTGGGACAGCAGCCAGCTGCCCTGGTGGATCTCCCGTGGGACCGAGGCAAGGCTGCGTATCCCAGTTCCACATGTGCATCACGCCCGGTCACCGTGGGAATGGGTGTGATGCCTGAGCATCTGAGCTCCCAAATCCAGCTCCCCACTTCGGAAAACCCTGGGACTGGACCACTGGTGGGCTGCCATCCAGCAAAACCAGCTTGGCTGAGACCAGCTTGTCCATGCCTGGCTACGGGCACCCTCCTCTCACCCACCCTGTCCCATGCGTGGCAGGGGCACCTCACCTGGCTGCCACAGGGCGGAGAAGCACTTCCCCAAAAAGCTCCCCGAGGAGCCGGGGTGAGAAGCGGCTCCGGTGGGTGCCCTGGCAGAGGTGGCAGAAGTGGCGGGCGAGCTGGCGCAGGAGCAGTGCCTGGGGCTGTGGCAGGGCTGGGGGGGCCAGCAGGGCTCTGGCTCGCTGGCCACATTCCTCCAGGCTTGGGGTCTCTGCAGCAGAGGAAGAAAATGGTCAGTTCAGGAGGTCAGGGTATCCCCTTGTCTCTCATGGGAGCCTGGCACCCCCCAGCACACATGGCATGAGTTGTGGCAGTTCTCTTCTCCCCCCCAGAGACCCAAGAATCCCTGATCTTAACCTCTTCCACAAAACCTATGCAGCCCATCTCTTCCCAGCCAGGCTGGGGGACACCTGGATATCCCAGGGCATGCAGAAGTGTCTTCACGGTCTTGTCCTCCTCTTGCTGGGAGCTGCCAGCCCCATTTACCCACTCACACCACCCCACCACCCCAGATCAGGTTGTCAGGTGCCTTTAGCACATTCCTCCTCTCAGCACAGCCAGGGAGGGAGCATGGGAGGGCTGACCTTCTCACATGGCAAGGGCTGCACCTAAACACCCCTCACTGCTGCTCCAACAGAGGAGAACAGTGAGAACCCTGCCCTGGTGCACAGCAAAGCCATGGCAGAGGCAGAGCAAAGCAGAGGTGGGGAAATGGGCACCAGCTGGAAGATCTGCTGAATTTAAAGGCTCAGCCCTCCCCTGCAGATAAAGCAAGCTGGGAGGGAAAAGGCTTTTGAGGAGGCAAAAACCCAAATGTGCACCTGGGCTGCAGGTGTGGCTGTAGTGAGGCCCCTTCAGCCCCCACACTGTGGTCTCACACCCCATGAAATACAGGACAGGGAGGGCTGACTGGGGTACAGCTACTTCCAGCGATGCTTGAATTGCCCACATGAATGAAATCAGGCACCTGGTGGTGTTGTACATCATGGAGGTACTGCCAGAACCCCCATCACAGGTGTCCCGAGCAGCCCACAGTCCATGGTGTTCCCACCAGTGTCCTATTCCATGTCCCCAGTGCCCTCTGGCAGCCTTGGCTGGGGCTCCCTGGTCTTGTGATCTGTGAGATCAGTGCCCTGGGATTGCAGTCCGCCCCAGGCACAGGAAACAGTCGCTGTCCAGCCATCATCCATCCCTGCCTTGTCCCAGCCCTTTTATCTGCGGGGCACAGGGAGGTCCCCAGGGCTGGGTTGGTCTCAGCCACCTTCAAAGCTTGGCTCAGTCGGGGGCTGACTCAGCTCCTCGAGGCTCTTTGCTCCAGGACTGAGGCTTGGCCAGTGCCCAGCCAGCTCCCAGCATCCATCCTTGGGGCCAGGGTGCACCAGAGCTGCAGGGGAAGGTGTCTGGGATCCCCTCCAAAGCAGGTCTGCAACCCAGCTGGGATGGTAATGGGGTGTTTGTGAGTCCTCGTATCCAACGAGCTGCTCCCGAGGCATGTTTGGCTTTGCTCCAGGCCTCCCCTATCCCAATCCCTGCTTTTTTTGCACCTTTTTGCACCCAGAGGATCCCGCAGGAGAAGGCCCACAGCCAAAGGGGGAATTTGGCGATGTTTTCCCCCTCCTTTTGCAGGTGGTCATCTTGCTGCTTTTCCAGCCCTCAGCCTCTAGCAGGGCAGAAGGAGCCTTGCAGGGCAGGCTGCCAAAACCCAGCACTGTCTCCTCAAAGACTTATATTTTCATTTTTTTCTGTTAAGCCCCAGAAATATCCCCTTTCCATTGGTTTCTCCTCCGTTCCTGCCCCCTCCTCCTCCTCCTGCCCCTGTTGTGCCAGGAGCAGAGCCCGCTGCAGCACAGGCTGCAGGGAAAGGCGCTTCCCTTTGAAGTTGCTTAACGAGGCAACCCAGCTAATTGCTTCCTAATTGCGTTTTTATCCTTGGAAGGGAGGCAGCCTTTGATTTCTGCTCTGAAGGGTGAGGGGAAGGCAGCTTCTCTGTGCCACCAGCCCCAGGGGTATTTCTTCTGGCTCCGTGTCCCAGCGCAGGGCAGGGAGGATGGGCTGTGTTATCCCTTGCCTTGTCCATGTGTCCCCCCTGCCTTGCTGGAGGCCACAAAGAGCCTGTGGCCTTCTCCCATCAGGATAGGGTAGGGAAAGGCCATGCTGGTCTGGCCATGGGTGATCTTTTAGTGCCTCTTAAGGCAGCCAAGAACATGATCTGCCCAGGCACTAATCTGGCTTAGGATGGGGAGGTGATGCTCGGGGATGGAGGATACTGCAGCAACTGGCAGTGAGACGAGAGCTGCTGTGAAAGGGGAAATCCTCGTTTCACAGGCAACAAGGGATTCAGGCCCTGTCTTACGTGGTGGGCAAGGGCTTCACGTGTGCCTGGTGATGCCCCCAGGGCCTCAGGCTGGGAGGGGCTGAGCAGCTCAGTGAGGGCTCATATGAAATGCATTTTGGTCCAGGCTCACTGTTGAGATGGACCATGGGCTCTGCTGGCCTGGGTACGAGCCCTGCTCTGTTTATTTGGAAAAAAATCAAATAAAACCAAAACCTTAATGGTCTCATACATTTGCACAGAGGTGGAAAAGCTTGCAGGGATCTAAAGGCACTTCCTAATGGCACTAAGCTGAAAAAGCAGAGAATTTTCTGTGCCCATATAAAGCCAAGAGTTAATGAGATTACAGGAAAAAATTCCCAGGCAGCAGAGCCAAAATATTATAACAACGCTTTCTTCTGGGGCCAGCATCACCCAGCCTTGGCAGCCACCCGTCCTGGCAGGCAGCACCTCCTTCTCCGGGCACTGCAGCAGGAGAAGACCATGCTGTGGTGGGGGCAAAGGAGACCCCTGGGCCTCCCCTTGCTTTCCCAGATCACCTCCCAAATGCTGTGGTGCTGCTCTGGCACAAGTGATGTTCCCAGTGGTCCTTCTCAGAACCTGCCCTTAGTGCAGCACTGGGCAGGGGATCAGGTCAGAGCCACCCTGGAGATGCTGGGGAGGCTTTTTGGGGTCTACCCAAAGCTTCTTCAGCCTCACAAAGGTCCCAGGTGTGGGTAGAGCTTGGGTGTGCTTACCTTGAGCCATGTGGACCAAGTCACTGTAGAGAGCTGGAGGGATGAGGGGCGACGGGAGCTCCTGGAGGTACCACTTCAGGGCATCTGCCAGTGTCTGGGCCTCGTACAGGTCCATGTCCACAGCCGAGGCGTCTGCAGGGAAAGAGCCAGCAGGAACCATGAGCCCGTGGTTCTGCCCCTCTGGTGCAGAGCTCAGAGCTCTTCCATCCCTGTGGACCTTCCTCCAGACACAGGGGCTGATTTCTTCGCCCATGCCCCCATCTCCCCAGTGGGGCAGCCCATGATTTCACTGCCACCACCACTCCCGCCCAGCAAATATTCCTGTCCCAGTTTCCACTGACCCCGAGTTCCACATGCCCATGGAGAGCACGAGGCAGCATCTCTGCTTTGTGTGAACTGCACACCCAGTGCATGGGGCAGGGAATCTCACCATTCCACTGGGGTCCCACTGCAGGATAGCACCCATGGGAAGGACTGAGCGGCCCTCCCAAGCATCCTCCGGTCATCAGGGCCAGGTACCATGTGCTGAGCCCAGCCCAGGAGGAACTGCTTGGAAAATGCATTCACGGAATGGTGTTATGGTCCCCCAGGCAATTCATGTTGCTAAAGGCCCATGCCACCCCCCAGTGATCCTGAAACACTGTGAATGTGCCCCAATTGGCATCACTTCTCCCAGCCCTGAAAGGCAGCTGCCCTGGGGAGGTGGTGAAGGATGCTCCAGGAAGGGGGGGAAGCACAGCTGAGATCACACAGCCCGGGCTCAGGACAGGGGCAGCGCTAGGAGCAGAACTGTCCCACGGTCCGGCAGGAGTCAAAGGGTGGGATGTGTCTGTCTGAGCCCCGTGGCTGGGCCAGCACGGGGACATTGCCTCACCAGGGTCCAGGGGGAAGAGCCCTTTCAGCATCCTTTGGTATTGCCTCATGCGTTTGTCTTGGAGGTCTCTCAGCCCGGCTGGGCTGGGTGGTGGCCGTCCAGAGGACGTTGGTCCCTTTTGCAAAGATCTGGAGGTTTCAAAATCTGGCTTTGATTCGAACTGGAGCCAAATGCAATGTTTTGAAATTCTCCTTGTAGGAGAAATTGGAGGATGTCTGAGGTGGTCAGGAATAATAAAAAAGCCCAACATATCTGGTATGGTTTGAAAAGGTTAATTTTTTTTGAACGAAAAAGCAAATTTGGCACTTTCTTAAAGATGCTGTATTAGGCCCCCAATTGCATGGTGTGACTACGAAGACAGTGGGCTTGCTCTGCTCTGAACCCCCTCCCCTTCCTCCTCTAGGCCTTTACCCCTAGATGCAGCTTTACTGAAACCGGTGCCATTTTGGGAGATGCTCCATCTCCCAGGCCAGCATTTTTCAGCAGAAAATATTACGAGTCTCCAGCCATTTCAGCTGCACTTCCTTCTGGGGCAATAAACCCAAAGGAGAGGAGAAATGCTACTTCCTAGGACGAGGCTTTAGAGACACATGGTCAGCAGGGCTGGAATGGGAAGCAGCTGGGAAAAGCTGTTTTTGGTCACCTTGACCTTGATCTCCTCTCGTTGGAATGTCCCCACTGTGGGCCAGGCAGCCTGGGAGCCTGCCCGCCTGCTCGGGGTCAAGAAGCCGTAGTGGGTCCCTTATGGCCAGTGCCTTCCATTTGGCTCCCAGGCCGGAGAGAAAACAGATTGACCAATGCCCGAAGCGAAGCCTTTAACCCAGCCGTGGGAGACACTACCTCATCCTCAGGGGCAAGCACCCAGCCGGCTGGGAACTGTGCCCTGGGGCAGTGTGGGGACAGCTGGGAGAGATGCCACCACGCTGGGGTGGGTAGCCATCCAGCCTGGCCAGACATGACCCAGGGCAAAGGTGGGTGCTGCCTTTCTGGCACCCCACGAAGTCACAGCATCATCCCATGGACCACTCTGCCCTTGGCATCTTCGAGGTGGGCAGGGCAGTGCCAGATGCACTCTGACCCCGCTCTGGTCTGTGCTCATGCTGCCATCTCCCAGCCACACTTCTGGACCTTCTTGGCTGGCCAAAAGTGTTATTTCTGCCAGGGTTTGTGACAGACAATTCACAACTGACTGTCACCAGGGGGTGACAGTCACTTCCCCATTTTTGCCCTGGAGAAATGAGCTGATAGGTTGTCTCAAGCTGGGCAGGTGGAGGAGAGTGGGGTCAGGGATCCCACAAGATGCTCCAACACCTGTTTTGGGCTGAATCCTCGCAGTGCATGGCTAAAACCCAGGGATGCTGCTGCTGGGTCTCAGAGTCTTGTTGCATGGCAAAGAGCTTCTCCCATCAGTGGAATGCACTGGGCAAACCCCAAAGCCCTTCTCACTCGCCACAGATATTTCTGCAGGGACCTGTCACTCGCCTTGAGAATGATGGCACGAATTGAGGAGAGCAGCCACAAGCTGTTCCTGTGCAGGCAGGGGGCCGCCGCCGGGCGCTGGCCCCAGGCGACCAGCTCTGGGCTCCACCGTGGCCTAATTAGCTTGTTTGCCTCGTTAGGCATGGGCCTGGGGGGGTGTTCAAAGGGAAGGCTCAGCCGGTTTCAAAGCAGGACTCAAAAACATCTTTACACCCAGAGAGAGGCACGATGGGATTCACACCCCGCCGACAGGGACTGATTGCTGGTGGCACCATTCTCTGTGACTAGAAATAGCCATTAAGCCCGTTGCCCCCTTCCTCCTGGAGGTGCAGTGGCATCCTCCTGCCTCAGCTCCTCTCCTCCCCCTGCAGCTGCCACTGAGCTGGGCTCCCCATTAGGCTGAGAACACAACCCGGGGCTGCTCCGAGCTGCTCCCCGGCACCGGCTGTGCCCCGGCAGCTCAGGGAGGCTCAGCCGGCAGCTGGGGAAGGGTTAACCCTGGAGCCTTCCCAGACAATTACCACAGGCCTGACCCCACGGATGCTGCTCTCTTCTTATCAGAGGGAGATGATAACCAGCTATAAGAAGTTAATGAAGCTGCAGGATGAGTCAATGCTCTCCCGCTGCTCTCCAGATGTTCCCGTCCTTTCCCCAGGGGAATGACGGAGGAATGACGGAGGGATTCTATCTGCCTGCCATAAATAGAAGGAAAATACCCCAAAACCCCAACCTTAACCCCATACCAACCCCTTTCAACACACAACCTACTTGCTGACATGCTGTCAGAGCAAGAATCCGGGGACCAGTGGAGAGCATGCCTTCCCCACGGAGGGGTGAAAAGCAGGGATAAATCTGGGACTGGAGAAAGGGTGCATGGGATGACCACTGGCCCAGAGGGAAAGACAATGGGTGCTCCCAGCCTCCTCCCACTGGGATGCCAGAGCCCACATCCCAGCAGAGGCGGAAGGGTGCCGGGGTTTTGGGCTGAGTCAGGCTGGGCAGGAAACTCCAGGACCTCTCCTGCAGCTGCAGCCAGCCAGGGAGGTTCAGTAAGTAAATGAGTAAGCTCGGAGTTTCAGTAAACTCAGAGGATGTTTAGCCAAGAGGTGTAATGGAGGAGGTGGGGGGTTGTTTTGGAGGAGAGGCTTGAGCAGGTCCTGGTAACCAGCTGTCCCCTGCATGTGGCCACAGGTGACGGCTGCACCAACATCCCCGGACAGCGTGTGAGTGACAGGGTGCAGACCCTGCCCAGCACCCACGGCCCCACTCCCGGCCAGGTGCAGCAAGGTCAGTCCAACAGGCCAAGCTGGGCAAGTGCTACTGCAGTGTGACACTCTTGGGTGCATGTTCCCTGTGACAGAGGGGCACCCAAACCACCTGTACCTGGGGCTGACTGAAATACTGACTTGGGAGCTTCTCTACCCCTTCCATACCTTTTGATTTTGATTGCCAGTGGGTGCTGGAGGGATGTCCTCACTGTCCAGTTCTGGGGGATATGCCTTCTAATCCACATGGATAATGCCTGCCCAAGGACCTGTACATCCCCCAGACCTGACCAGGCATTTGAGGCTCCTGGGCAACCCACAGTGGGGGTTTACTGGGGAACTGTGCACTGAATCAGGGAATATTTCCCAGCTTTGATTCAGCTTCATTGTAATATCTCCCAGCCAGCTTGCTGCTACCTTGTGCTGGGGACTTGGCAGCTGCCAGGGCACCCTCTGCCCATGCACAGGAGCACCTGGCAGCCCCAATCACCCTCCCTGCTGGGTTTCATCTCAGCATATCCCTGGCTTGCACTCAGCCAGGGCAGGAGTACTGGGCCCCCTTTTGAGGGTGCCCAGTGAGGCTTCCTTCTGCCACCTCAGCTTCCCAAGGGCAGTTCCCTTCCTCAGTTTCCCCAGCATCTCTTGGAGGTCACGACAAAAACTCGCCCCCAATTCTCCCTGATGGGTCCGGCAGGGACGTCTCTGCTGCTGCCGTTTATTTACCCTTCTTTCATCACCACCAAATATAAGAGATGAGCTCATGCCTCTCGCCAGGCTCTGACGACACGGGGTTTATTTCCACTGCAGGTATAAATAAAAAGCAGTGCGGCAGGCACCGGGGCGCCTCGTGCTCGGGAGGAGAGTCATCTTGGTGGAGTTAATAGCTTGGCCAGGGGAAACCAGAGCCCTTGTGGGCCTCGAAGTCTCTCTGGCATCCCAGGGACGAGGATGGGGATGCTCTCCCTCCATGGGCATCCACACTGTGATTGGGGGGAGTGGGGGAGCGGTGTGAGACCCCCCAAGCTGCTCTTCACTTCCCAACCCTCTCTGCCTGGCAGCAGCTCCCGGCAGCCCCAGTGAAGCCCCGGGACCCACCATTGCTCGCTAATCCCCACCGAGACCTGACCTAATTCCCGGGCACGTGAGCGTGTCTCCAGGCAGACTGCTCAGCGCCGGGGCCGCAGATCAAAGCGCGGGATGGCAGCGCATCCACGGCACGCCTGGAGACACCGGCTCCAATCCGCCTCGCGCTGCCGACACATTCTCCCTGGCACCCCGAGTCGCAGGCAGCTTCTGCCTGGCCCTGACAACAGCGGAGGCTTCTCCCAGCGCTGCTCTTGTATCTGGGGAAGGGTCTCGGTGTTTATGTCTGCGGGCCGGAGCGCAGAGCAGGGTAGGGGTTATCCAAAGTGTGGGGGAGGCTCCGGCGCTTTGCCACCATCCCGGATGGGCTCAGCCCCATCTGAGACATACAAGGCACCCAGGGACCTGGGGGGGGGAAGGGGGAGCTGCAGGATCTCTGTGCAGGATCTCACCCCAGAGAGAAGGGCTGAGGATGCAGATCATCCCAGCACTGCCCAGCCATAACACACAGGAGTTTGCAGCCATCCCCAAGCCAAACCTCCCCCAGCTCGGGCACTGCAGGGAGTGCTGGGTACCAGGTGCCATGGTAAGCGTTGCACCCTGATGCTGCTGTTTGAAGCTCTGCTTTATTCCTCTTTTTCTGCCCATTCTCTTTCCCTGCCACTGCAGTGGGGCTCCTGGCTGGCTGATCACCTCCCCCCTTTTGGTGAGTTCTCCCAAGTCCTCTGTGGAACTGCAGCTTTTCTGTAAGTCTCCTTTTGGTGCCACCATGTGACTAACTCCCGTGTTCAGTGATGTCACATGGCCCCTCTTGCTCTCTTAAGGGGCATAAAGGTCCAAATTGAGCACCCAGTGTCCTAAAACAATTCACTCTCCTCTGGAGTCAGGATAAGCCAGCTGTGAGCCCAACCACCCTTCGGGTCCGTGCTTCACTCGCCAGCCCTGGTGTCACCTGAGCCAGGTGGCAGTGAAGGCACTCAGTTCACTGACCTCCCTTCATTGATGAGCTCTGTCTTTGATTCCTTTTTTTTCCCACCTATAAATAATTCTTCTTGTACCATCCAACATGGAAGTACCAATTTTGGTGCCCAGGCTCTAGCCAGCAGTCAGATGCCACTGACCTGTAGTATGTCACCAGTGCCAGGATGGGGACAGGCTCAGCCCAGGCTGCAGAGCCATGTGGAGCCATGCTGCATCCAAGTCTGCTCTGCCCAACGTTGCTGCAGCCCCACGAGGATGGGAAACCTTCATCCCAAAGCCTGGGTGATTTTCAGCTCCAGGGGTTGCCCCATCCTTCTAGGTCCCCAAAGAGCAAGGGCTCCAAAAGGGCCCGTGACAGGAAAAGGGTTTGATCAACACAACTCAGATGAGTACCTTTGCTGCCAGCCCCAGGGATACAATGCCCACTGGCTCCCTGGGACAGGCAGGGCTGCTCTGACCTGCACATCTCCTTCTCCCCAGACAACCATCCTCCTCCTTCCCACTGGAGGTTCAGATGCCTTTTCAGGTAGAAAACACTCTGTCTTCTCTGACACATTACGATTTGGGGGTTAGAAAACCAACACCTGAACTTTTCCAGCCCCTACTCCATTTTTTTTTTGCACTCTCTAGCAGTTTTCCTGACACCACTGCCAAACACCAGCATGATTTGGGTATTTGCAGGGAAGCTGAAACCCCTGCCCCTGGAACCCCGTTTTCTCCCCAGCTGAGATGTGGTTTGGTTCCAGCCACTGCCAACCCTGGCTCCAATTTCTCCCCATTCTCCAAGATGGAGCTTGACTTTTGCAGGTGAGCTGCTGGCAGAGATGGGACTCTGGAGGGATGAGCCATCAGGAGTGCAGGAGGAAGAGAAATGTGACCGTCAGCTCTGCTCATGTGTGGGGCAAGGAAACTCCAATATTTCATCAGGGATGTTTTACTCCACCAAATGCAATGAAAGGGCTCATGTGGCAGCCAAAGCAGAGATGCTCTCCTGCCCTCCCCATCCCAGTTTGGGCTCCAGCAGGATCCTGGGGACACACCACTGGGTCTCTCCTCTGCAGGAGGCTGCAGGGAGAGGAAGCTGCCAAGCCTGGCCTCTGCTGGGATGTTTGACCCTGGCAGGAGCATCATTCCCATCCTTTTTGCAGAGCATCCCTCTGGCAGGGCTGAGCATCAGCCTCTTCAGCTGAGAGCTAATACTACCCCTCCTACCTACACATACCTACACACCCTACTCCTTCCAGCCAGCTCTGAGGAGCTCTGGCTTTGCCCAGCTCAGCGTTGCTGAGCACACAGGGCAGCCCCCTAAAGTGCCAAATAAAAGATTTCGGTCCCAGAGGAGATGGGGGCTTGGGAGTATCAAGTCTCCCAGGGCTGTTGGTGATTTTTCAGGGCTTTCAAATGGTTTGAAGAGCGTGATGGCATCTCTCTGCCTGGTGGTGGGCCCTGAACTGGGAGATGGACAGACCTGGACAGACCCTGAAGCTGCTCAGAGCTCTAGCCCAGGCTCTTGCCAAGACAGTGGGGTTTGCCCCTGGGCAGGGGGAGTCTCCCAAGGCTGGGCAGGATTTTGGCAGTGACTGCTGTGGTGCAGTGGCTCCCTGTGGGGAGCCCTGGGCCTGCCTGGAATGCTGCACCGGCTGTATGGGAAGAATGGAGGACCTGTAACTCCTGCGTGCTCAGAAAGCAAAGCATCCTTCTCATGCTGCCCCTGCCCAGCCTAGGCACCAGTGCCCAGAGCAGCCGAGGGGGTTGCTCTTGGATGCCTTCACCTTCTCCAGAGCTCAGCCACGAAATCTGGGCCAGGGGACAAGGCTGTGAAGAACAGCACTTGCTGCTCTGGGCTTCCTGAGCCCACAGCTGGCAGAGGAGAGTGGGGTGGTGGGGTGCCCTGTACCCCCATCACCCCCGGGAGAGCGCAGGTCTCCTCGGGCAGTGAGGACGGAGCAGCCCCGGGAGCTCCAGCATCTCCTCTCCTGCACCACTCCTTCCCCGCCCGGCGGGACTCGGCTCCCGGTGCGCGGGAAGCGATGAGGTCATGGTGCTTAATATAGCGATTTCATCACAGCCCTTCTCCCCAGCAACACGGCGCCGGCTCCCGCCGCCCCCCGGCCGGCAGCGCCCGGGATGCGGTGGGATGTGGGGCCGGCCCGGGGCTGTGCGGGGCCGCCCGTGCCTGGTGTCACAGTGCCGCCCTCTGGGCACCGCGGCCGGACGATGGGGATGCTCGACGCAGCCCCCCCACCCCCCAAGTACCCAGATCTGAGCGGCACACTGGATGCATCGCGTGTCTCCCCTCCTCTTCCCCCCCTCGCCGCCCCGTGCCATCCTATCCCAGCCGTGGATTTAAAAGCTGGGGTGGGGAAGATGGTTTTTTTCCCTCCTCCCCACCCCGCTCATGCCCCAGAGTCCCGCAAACCGCTTCCCGTTCTCCTAAATAATAAGCTTTTCCTTTCCTCTTTCTTTTTCCCTATTGCACGCACAAGAGGCTTTCTGACTGCCCTGATCCTCAGATACAAACCCTAGAGATCTGAAAAAACCCCCCAACAGTATTTTTCTCCCTAAAAAATAATAGCGTTCCTAGTGAAGTGCCCCAGCCCCGCACCTGCACGCTCCTGGCTGCATCACGTGGGATTACTGGGGGAGTGGAGAGGGGTCTACTTAGAGGCCGGGCCTCACAGAGCTGGGATTAGGGCCGTAATGATGTTGGAGCTGTAACCCCTCCCTGCTGTGCCAGGGCAGCATCACCTCCACAGCCCCCTTCCCTCCTGGGAATATAGGGAAAGATGTGGCTCTGGGACTTACCTGTCAGCAGGGCCTGCTTCAGCTCAGCATCCCCCAGGGCACTGGGGCCGGATCTGTAGAGCACTTCACTGTCGAGACCTGGGGGACAGGCAGGAGAGAGGGGTTAATGCTGAGTTCCATATCCTCCTAGCCAACATAATGGAAGCAGGCAGGGACCGAGAACGCCAAGCTCCCACTCTGGGTGGGTACTGGGGTGAGTGGGCAGAGGTTTGGCTCTGGTGATGCTCTTGGGGCCTCTTTGAGCACGGCAGAGCCAGTGGCTGCACGTGTGCCCCACTGTGTGCCCTGCAGAGGGATGGGCAACCCGGGTCTCCGTACCTTGTTTTTCCAGCGCCTCGATGAGCCTGGCCACGGTCGGCAGCGCCTGCTCGGGGAGGGAGGGATGCTCGGCGAGCTCTGCCTGCCCGGGGAGCCCTGTGATGGAAAGAAGGGGAGAAAAGGTTTGGAAATTCCTGCCTGCAGGAATTCCAGTCTCTTTTCTCAGCTGCCCCATGATAGGATCAAGCTGCTGCTTTGGCAGAGCCACAGCCAATACTTTGGCTCAGGCTTGTCCCATTTTGGAGCACTTCTCCCTTATTTTATCCTCTTTTTGCAGTAAGAGTCACTGTTGGGGGCTCAGCTGCTTGCTGAGATGCAAAGACACGCTCAGGCACATGCCCTGCTCATGGGGAACATCCCATCATGGGCATGGAGACCCTTCAGGCCAAAACCCCTTCCCCACCTCTCCTCCTATGGCACCGGGACTGCCCCCACTCATCACCCACAGCCCACAGTGACACCGGGCAGGAGCTGGGAACCAGATCCATACCCACCACCGACATGGCTCTCTGCAGCTCTCACCCACTTGGATTCTCTGGTGTCTGTGACAGGATCGAGCACAGGCCCTGGCAGGACTCAGTCCTTGGTTGGTGGAGACCTCCCTCAGCCCTTGAAGAGCCCTTTGGCCGAACATGGGTCAGGCTTCCCACAGCACAAATCCCCATGTACTGCTGACTCCTGGGTTTTATACCAAGGACACCTCACCCTAGACCATGACAGAGAGGAGCAAACCCCTCAGCAGGCAGGAGAGCAGCTGTCCTTACCCCAGCTCATGTTGTATCCACCCGTCCCTTTTTACCCCAGCTGATGAACCCTTCCTGTGCGGGTTATACCCGAGGGAGACTCCAGCAGTGCAGTTCTGGGATTTCTCCCCATTCTCTCTCTTTGGTGGCCTTTAAAGCCCCAGAAAGGCAGTGGGCAGGGGCCTGGCAGGGGCAGGGACTGCCACTGGCTGCAGCACATCAGAGCCCTGTGCGACTGCTGCAGTACAGACATGTACATGTGGAAATGCTGGGAAAAAAAAAATAGAGGGACTTCGGGGAGGGCCACGCTGCCTCCAGTCTTTTGCAAAAACACAACCTGGACACAACAGGTGGATCCAGGCTCTGATCCTCACCGCAGTGATGCCCTGGTGCTCCCTGGAGAACAGGGAGGGATGCAAACCTCCCGCTCGTGGGTGGCTGATCCAGCCCCAGGCACAGCTGCAACCCCAAAGCCCAGCAAGGGGGTCTCCTCTGCTGCCCAACGGGGATGTGTGGGTGCCTTGGGTGGGAACAGGGAAGATTTCAGGGTTTAAAGCAAAGCACATCGTTGGGAGCTCATGTAAAAATGTCACCACCGCATGAGTGGTTTTGTAATTAGGCAAAACTGGGCTTTTCCTCCAAACCAATGGCTTAGGGGTAAGGTGGCGACTGCAGAAAAATAACTATCTGTTCCTCCTTGCTGGGAACAACAGGAATGGCCCCAAGCTGTGCCAAGATGGACCCCAGCACCCTGACACCCTGCTTGGCTCCAGCCCCAGGTGAGGTGGAGGTGATCCCTCTTGGCAGTGGGACCACCGGGCACAACTAGTCAGGGGCAAAACAGCCACTGAGCTCCTGGGAAATCCCCTGGGACTCGGATCTGCTGCAGAGTCATCTTCAGGATGTTATTTAATTAAAAAAATAAGACCATTTCTCCCTGCAGAGTCAGCCCTGACTTGAAGGCACGGCTGGGACATGCAGTGTCTCTCTGTCATCCAGGGCTTCCCCCATGGCTTCAGCCAGCTCAGGGTCCCTGTGTGGCACCAGGGCTCGGTGGGCACTGAGGGCACTCTGGGTGGTGCACTGCTGTCGCAGAAAAATAAATTAGGGCTGGCCAAAAAAAAATATCCCTCAAACCCCCATCTGGGAATGGAAACACTATGGCAAGAATTAAAAAAAAAAAAAATAAAAAAGAAGGAAAACCAAAAGCACCTTCTCTTTCAAAAGGATTTTGGAGATTTTTACTCAAAGGGAACTCTCGCCAGCCAGGAGGTTTGGGTTTAAACTGACGTAAAATGGCACACACTGCTCCCCTGCTGCAGAAAGATGTGGTTGTGGGACATGAATCTCCCCTGCTGAGGTGCCTGCACACCCTGGCATTGCCTCAGGAAAGGCACTCCACAGAGGGGCATCCCACAGCACAGCACTGAGGAGGCAGCACCCAACATGCCCCTGGATAGCAGGGCTGGACGCCTGGCCATGGCCAGAGCACGTCCTGCAGACAGCAGCACTCTCCACAACCTACCCCCAAAACCTGCTCTTAAGGATTTTTTTCCCCCTACTAAAAAATATGAATTTTACATTTTTAAAAATTTTGTTATCCCCTTGCCCAAGCACATGCACAGCTGGGGCTCCTGTGCTGACACCTCCAGCATGGGCCAGGCTCTCCAGGCAGATGAGCTTCCTTGACTTGTGGGGCATCACCACATCCCCAGCACCTGCGGGCAGGGGTCCCGGGGCACATGTCCCAGCCCCTTGGAGAGGAGCCCATGCCAACCCCTGTGTGAGGCAGGCACAGGGGTGGGCAGCAAGGGCAGAAACAAGAAGGTGACTTCACACTTCTCCCTGGTGAATAAGGCTGGAGACCCTCAGGGTCTGCTCCTGGCTGACCCAAGCTGTCCATGCTATAGCACCGAGTTTGCCAGGGCCCAGCCTGCTGAACAGCCAGGGCAGAGGGCTCCTCACACAACGTCGGGCTTGGCTGGGAAGGAGGCTCAAACCCTCCATCTGGCAGGGTAAGCACCCCCAAAAAGTGGCTTCCACCCTCCTGCAAAGCCAGCATGTAGCTGCTCTTGGAGCCTCACCAGTGCTGGTGGGACTGTGGCCGCCTTGGTGCACTCAGAGCACTGGTCAGGGAGGAGAACCTGCACTTTTGGGAGGGGAGGCAGAGGGGCCCAGCATCCTTTTCAAATGGCTGGGGGGGCTCCGCATCAGGAACTGCTTGGCAACCCCACACATGGACATGGATGATGCAGTGCTCAGCTCAGGAGCCAGGTGGTCCCCACCTCTTAAATCATGGTGGCAAGGTGCTCCTGAACCATATTTTGAAGAGAGATGGACTCCTTATCAGTGGACGCCCCTCTAAAGCTGGGACCAAGGTACCTCCAATGCCCATCCAGCCCAGAGGGGAAGCAGGTTCTCTGTGCCATGGTCCCAGACTGGGCAGGGAGGGTGCCCAGAGTGCTAGATCAGCAACTGGGCAGGTTTTGAGCAGTCACAGGTGAGGTGATGCCCCTCTCCCAGCCCAGGCCCACACAGACAGCCATTTCTCCTCCGTCACATCCTGGAGCAGGAGAGCACCATGGCTTTGGGGTTGCCAGGACATGCCTGGCTCAAAGGGGGGATTCTTACTTGGCTTTTTAAATTTTTTTTAGCTTGTGTATATTATGTAACTGCTGTGAAACCCCTCCTGGCCCCAAGGCCCTTGGCCGTGGTGAGGGCAGAGCTGGCTGCATGAGTTCGGCAGAGAAATGGCTGGAGGCCTCCGTGCCAGGAAGGGTCTTCCTGAATATTCCTCCCAGTGCTGCAGCCCCCAGGGATAGAGGAGCCCCCCAGGGACCAATTCCACTGCCTGCCAAGATTGTTCCCTGTCCCAGCCTGCACAAAGTGACAATGAAGCCGGGAGCTGGCCGAGGGCCAGAGCTTGCCAGGGCACTGAGAGCAGCCTGAATCAGGTGCCGCAGTGGTGGGGAGAAGAGCAGTTGGAAAAAAAGTCTCTGGGGGACCACCATGGGGCTTTCTGATCCTCTCTGGGGGCCCAAAGGGCTCCTCCATCTTCTCCTGTGCTCTCAAAGACGTGGATCCCCTCGGACACCCCATGCCAGCACAGCAGCCAGCCTGGGATGCTGGTGAGGAGCAATCCCTGCAGCATGTTTGCCTGGGGGGTAACGACACTTGAGGCACCCCCTGCCTCCCCTGAGGCTGCCCTGATGCACCAGGGCAGGTAATTCCTGGGACAGCTCCTCTTACTGTGGCTGGATCCCCATCCTCAGGGTGGATTCCCACCAGGCCACCTAAATCGCAAGCATCCACCCCGGCTCCACACCACCCTCTCCATCTTGCAGGGGACACACACCCGTGGGCTCCCACCTTCCTGCTCCCCCAGCACTCACCCCAGGGTGTGGGGGTCCCAGCGGGTGGCAGGGGCAAGGGCCGTGGCCTGGCCTTGGTGGCGGTGGTGGCGATGCGTGCGGGGCCCAGGTACTCCACGTAGGTGCCGGGGAAGTCTCCGCGCTCCTTGGTGCGCTCGTTGACGCCGTGCAGCCAGCCCTGGGGGTTGCGCTCGTCCCCGTCCTTGTAGTTGGGGCTGCTGAGCAGCCCGGCCCTGCTGACCGTCAGCACGTCCCCGGGGCACAGCGCCAGGTCCTCCTCCCGGTCCTTCTGGTACTCGTAGAGAGCCCGGTACTGCAGCCCGTCCGAGGAGGCCATGGTGGCAGCGTGGCGTGGGTCACACTGCCCTGATCCAGCCAGGCAGCCTGGCGTGGGTCACACTGCCCTGATCCAGCCGGGCATCGGGGGCCCAGGGCCCCGCACAGGGCAGGGGTGGCTGGGCTCGGGCAGTGCGGAGGGGTTGGGAGTGCTCCTCTCTCCCTGCACACGCAGAATGGAAATCTCAGTGTTGGAAGATGTCCGAGATGGAGAGCAGCTCCTGACCCTCCAACCCCAGAATTGCTGTGGAGCCAAGCCAGTGCCTGGGACTCATCAGGGCTGGCTCAGGTGTGGGTAAGGAGCTGTTTCTTCACCGGGGCAAATGGAGGGGAGAGAATGAGGCTAGTTGGGGTAGAGGGTACAAATGTGAGTCCTCTTCTCAGCCTGGCCTCATCCACACGGTGCTGGGGACCTCCCTCTCTCTGCTGGAGAGAAAGGCAGCGTGTTAGTGACCAAACCGCTGTCTTGACCTCAACCTCGTGCTCTGTCCCCCCATCCCAGCCTCCCAACACCAGGGAGAGCCCAGCAGCTCGCTCAGCTCCTGCTTCCCAGGGAGCTCCCGCCAGCAGGGCTCGGCCGCTGCACGCGAGGAAAGTACCGGCAAAGAGTCTGGAAAGTAGGGCAAGAGATCACGCCATGGGTTTTTAAAATAGACATATGTGCTGAGAAACCTCCTGCTGCACGCAGCTCCCCTCCGGCAGCTCCAGCCTGGCATTGCTGCACGGAGCTGGCAGATGAAGATGTAGGATTTTCATGTGGGTTTGGTTTTTGTTCCCCCCCCCCTTCTTTTTTTTTTTTTTTTTTTTTTTTTAAATTTTTTTTGATGCATTTTTATATATTCCTCCAAGAGTGACATCATCCCTAGGGGGAAAAGACGGTGCTGCTGCCGACCCGCTGCCCCCCAGCTTCCCGCAGGACCCCGTGGAAGGGGGATGATGAGCAGCAGCTGTCTGTCTGTCCATCCATCCACCTGCCTCCCAGAGACCCTCCCGCTTGCCCCTCCAGCCTTACGGGCGCGGTGGCTCCACCGGCGGGAGCGGCGAACGGGAAGCGGAAGCGGAGCCGGCTCCCGGCCCCGCCGAGCCGCGCTCCGGCGGTGATGTCAGCGTCCCTCCTCCTCCTCCTCCTCCTCGGTAGCCGGGCGCCCCCCGCCGCCACTGCGGCGGGGGGGCGCCCGGCTACCGAGGAGGAGGAGGGAAAATTGTAGGAGTAGGTGGATGACTTCATCCCCAGATGCAGCAGCGCTGCTCCAAAATTGCATCCTCTGTAGGATGGAGATCTCCCATCTGTGGGTCTCCATCCATCCTTAGGGATGCTAAAGGACAGAGGAGGACCAGCGCCCCATGGACACCCCCCCTTATGCCAGCCAGCTCTCCCTGAGCACCCACATAGGATCCCCTCCTTTAGCCAGGCTAGAAAACACGCACAGGACAGGCAGGAGACGCCATGGAGAATCCCAGCCCAGGGATGCTCCGGTTCCTCGCTCTCCTCCTGAGTCTGGACAAGCTGTCCCAGTATTTGACTGTCCGTGAAGCACAGAGGGGTTGATGTGATGTTCCCAGAGGCACAAAGGCTTGCTTTATTTTAATTTATTTTTTTTTTTAAACCCTTGTTTCTCACGCTGACTCCTCCGAAATGGTCGTGGCTCCTTGTCTTTGCTGCAGGTTGGACATCCTAAAAATAGATGGTACCTAAAACACAGGCTCTGGCAAATGCACACTGGCTGAATCCAGGCCACTGCAGGGAGCAGTGCAGGGGTGGCACAAAGTCCAAGGAGGAATCACAAGTGCTGGGAAAACTGAAGAAACATGAGACAGACAGGCCAGCAGAGCAACGCAGATGTAGGGCCCTTCTCACCCATAATTTCATCAAACTCCCCCCTCCTTTCCCTGCAGCACATGGCCTGACGGCACAGGGCAGCAGCATCCTGGGGGATTTCTCCTCAGCTGCATCTCCTTGGGCAGCATGCAGTCCCCACTGTCCCACTCCCCAGCTGGATCCAGCCCAGCTGCTGGTCTTAGGGGATTAAAAGGGATTTTTCTCTCCCTCGTCCCATTTCTGCTGGCACCGTGCTGCTGTTGCAGCTGCCAGGACGGAGTCCGAGTTGGTTGTGAACAGCCACACACTGCCCTCCCCCGAGCTGTGCTTCCCCAGTCATGTTCCCTGTGCCCCATCGAGGATGAAGAGGTTTTGCTGAGTGTCCAAAGCCCTGCTTGGCCTCCCCAGAGTCTCCCTCTGGGGTTGTCAAGTCACCCAGGCTGAGCATGGTGCCAGTGCTCAAGGGGCTGCCTGGAGAAAGGCAAGGAGGTGTTTTCCTCCTGGGAGAGCATTAGAGCCAGGGAGGCTGGTGGGTACATCACCATCCAGTATTACCTCCCATCCTATCCTAGGATCAACCCTATGTACAGGCCAGGAATTAACACAGTCCTGGGGCTCTGGGGCAGGGAAACAACCTGGCATGACACCCATCATCTCCCCTTCCCAGGATGCTGAGTGGGATCCTTCCTTCCCAGCAGCAGCAATCTTTCCCTCCTGATGTACCTCAGGGTCCCCAAACACAAAGGCACCATCTCCTGCTGGAGCCAAGTTTCACTGCCCACCACCCTGCCACTGGATGGGGCTGAGATATCCCCCCAGCCCTCCTTGATTCTCAGGGACCCTCAGAGCACCCCTTACACCCCATTCCAGTTGCACTGCAGCAGGATCGTTCCCAAAACTCTGCATCCTGGGCTGCCCTTCACCCTGTGCCACCCCATATGGTTTATTCAAACCCTCGCCCCACTCCAGTCCAGAGCTGGGCACATCCCCCAAGGCAGGCAGAGAGCCCTCAGGGGGCACCCTGTGAAGAAGCAAAAGGTGCTTCAGACCTTGACTGCTATTTATTGAGCCTGAGGAGCTGCCTGTCAGGCTCTGATTAACTACAGATCCATCCTCGTTGGCTTAATGAGCAGCACTCATGGCAACGAGAGCTTTGCCTTGGTTTGCCTTGCCCTGACTATTCTGTGGAGTGTGCAGGAGGAGCCTTCCTTGCTCCTTGCACCCTGTGGCCCCCTTCAAGCTCCTCTTTGCTCAGTGTCCACGCAGCCCAGGATGGGGGTATGGGGAGGAGAGAGATGTGTCTCCTCATTGGGGTCCCAATGCCCTGCTGTAGCCCCTCTGCTCTCCTGGCCAGAGGGACAACTCTTGGTGGGAACAGGGGATGCTTTGCATCCGCCTTGACTGCCTGTCCTGGCCTTCCCAAAGTGACAGGGGTCCTGCTGCTCCCCTCTTTGCTTTGGGACCTGCCCAGTGCCATCCTGTCCAGCCCCTGGATGTGCTGGCCATGCTCACGCCCAGGGAAGTTAGCCACTGTGAATAAATAGAGCATAAATACAGTTGTTAACGTGCCTAGCTGGAGAATGTGAGGCTGCAGAACTGGGATGAGCCCTTCCTAGCTGGAGAAAACAGAGAGAAAAGGTTTAGGTTTCCATTGACGTTTCAGTCCACTCTTTTAGTTTCACCTCTGTTTTCCCACTGTGGAGGGCTCCACGCTTTGCTTCCTCTTCTCTTTAGGAGCAGGAAAACTCCCTCTCTCTTGCTTTTCTCCCGGAGTGCCCAGGAATGAGCTCTGGCCTCTGTGGGTTCTGGTTCAGGAAGAGCCAAGTGCTTCTCGAAACAACCTCCCGGCGTGGCACCCATGGACAGCTGGGAGCCGCACGGTTCTACAGACACTCTCTGCCGCCACCACCACCGAGTTGGGGCTACCTCAGACCTGGGGAGGAAGACGCTGGAGAAAACCCAAGGAACACAAGGAAAGGCTGGGGGCGCTGCTGGGGCTCTTCCCTGCGCCGCTCTGCAGGGCTGAAGCTTCACAGCACGGCAGGTGCCGGGAGCTGTCGGAATGGGTGCTGCCAGGGCATCCCAGAATGGCACTGGGGACCCGTGGCCCCTCAGTGCCACCTCCCTGGGCAGCGGGCACTAGCACTTCCCGAGCTGGGTCAGGTCCTGCACCCCGACTCTGCAGTGGAACGGGTCTCCCTGGTGGGAGAAAGCTCCATCAACCACACAGCCCTGGCCATCCTCGCAGGCGAGACAGCGGCAAAGGCTTCGCAGCCCGGCTCTCGCCTGCAGGAGCCCCCGGAGCGTCGGCGCTCAGACGTGGAGTTATCCTGATGTGACCCTGCAGCGCAGCCCTCTGCATTCCTGAACCTGCCTGGCTGGGCTTTACGGCAGCTGGCGCCTCGGCATGGCCCTCGTTAATTAATTCGGGAGGGATTTGCCGGCCTGGACACATGTGAGAAACAAGGAAATGTTATCTGGAGGGGTGTGGGCAGGCAGCCAGGGCAGGGCAAGCGCCGGGGGAGTCACTGCGGGGGATACACCCGTGGGAAAAAGCTCAGCCCGATACAAAAGCAGAGAGGTGTCCTGGAGCCCCTCTTTTAATTGTGTTATTAACACACAGCTGGAAACAGCATAATGATTAACATCAGCTACGTAAGGCACAGGGCCAGGTCCCTACACTGGGGGATGCACTGCTGGGACACACTTGCAGCCCCCCCTTATCACATCTGTATTTACACCCTGGGCCCCACATGGCACCAGATGGGGCAACGCCTGTGTTTTGGACTGAAGTTGTGGTTTTGCACATAGCCATGGAAACGGGGAGAATTCCCCTGAAACAGGAGCCACAGCCACGGGGAAATCAGTGTGGTCTTGCTGCCCAGTCCCTCCCACGGTGGAGGAATCGGTGATTTCCCCAGTTCTGTGGCCAAAAGTCTTTGAATTTTTGAAGCTGAGAACTGAAATGTGTCCTTTTCAAGACATCAAAAACTTTTGGCTGCCGTAGATATTTATTTCTCTGCGTCAGGAGGTGGGAAGTGATGAATTCAGCACAAATTTGCAACATTCAGTAACTTCCATCTGCAAATCCGAAGTCAGGTTCATCTCTGGCACATTGCAGTGTGTCCATGCATCCAGACTGTCCAGGTGACTGCATGCTAGACAGACAGCTTCATAGGTACTGCCAGCCCAAAACAGACATGTGAAAGCCCTTTGCAAGGGACTCACTTGGCTGAAGCTACCCCAAAATCCTGTCAATCACAGACTTGGCTGGTCTCCACGGCTGGTGATGCTTGGGGCTTCTTACTCAGTGCTTTACCAGGAGGGAAACTAAGGCACGAGGGGGATGTCCCCTGTGCCCAGAGTCCTAGTGGTTGCATTAAGCCAAGTGAGCCTGTCTTAGCACCCCCCTGGGCTGTCAGATCGATCAGGATCATTAGCATTTGCTAATCCATGCAGGGGCTGAGCAGCAGGGCTTGTTCAGGGCTGCCAGGACGCCTCCTGCCCTGCTGGGTGAGAGATGCCAGTTTAGGTTTCTCCCTAGATGCTTTGTTAACCTTGCTGTCTAATTTGCTGTGCAGAGGGACGGATGGCTGCT